TTTTTTTTTTTTCTTTTTTGCATCAGTGAAAAGCGATGAGAGAAGCTTCTTCTTTCTCGCCGCTTTTCACTGCTTCGCAATAAGAAGATCCTTCTGGTCTTTACATCGGGAATCACTTGTGGCTGGTTAACTGATTGGAGATGAAAGACGCAGCTTCTAAATTTAATACGCTGTTTAAATTGGTTCCTCGAGGATCTTGCCTTTTGCAATCACTTCCCCTTACTGAGACTCTTCAGCCCTTGGATTATTTTCCAGTTCTTTGTGGCGTATTGCTGGAATGCCTTTGAAAATTTTGGAATACAGGGAATAATTTATAGGTCCGAAGCATTTAGCAATAATTGCACAAAGTAACTTGATAAATGTAAAAACAATGCTTTTAAAGGTAATTACCCAGGTATGGTCTTTCGTCGACCATCCTTTCGACATGAAGTTAATTAAATATTGGATTTTATTAATACTCTGGTCCAAAGTTTGATATAATATATTCTAGAAAATTTACTTTCAAATTTAGGAATAGCTTGCTTCAACCTAATCTAATTTATTTTACTCTTAATTTACCTTTAGTAATAGTTTGCTTTACTTAATCTTTTTACATAAATATTTAGTAATGACGAAACAGTTATTAAAGCTGTTACCTCCCATATGTTGAGTGAGAAATGATAAATAATAGGGAGAATTGGCAAACACCTGTTATGCACATTGGTTACATAAACTGTTTATCTCCTGATGGATTCCAGATAAATGAAATCCAATTCTATTTTCTTCGTTGTAAGTACACGTATAACGTGATTTCATCTCACTGATCAATTAATTCTGAATTTAACAAGAATCTTAAAACAGCATACCTGAAAATTAGGAAAAAAGAGAAGGATTATTAACTTGCGGTTAAAAGACATATATTATAAATTAGTTGAATGGAAATTAAAAGAAATTAATTGTTAACCTGTGATATTTCGAAGATCACAATTTGGAACATCTGAAATGAAAGAAAAAAAAGAGAGAAGATAGATTAGAATGAAAAGTAACTTTTAAATGAAAGGAAATCAATACAAAGGGATAAAATAAGTAAAGATAAATTTTCACGTTCTTGTTGAATGTACAATTCTCCTCGGTACTGTTCGATTGGCTATTTTTATTTAACGAAAAGCCTAATAATCTTAGAAACAAAATTCGAGCAACAACTCCAGGCGAATTTTCACTGTTCGAGTAAGAAAGATTTGAAATAAACGGGGGAACATATTGGAAAAGGATTGCTTCCGTCAACGTTTTTTCCCAGAGAAAAAAAATCACCGTGTGCAAATTACAGTAAAATCTCCGTAAAATCAGTGCGATATTCCGCGATCTTCTCGTACAACGCTGTTCAAAAGCATGGGATCCTCTGTTCACTTTCTAGCAGAAACGTAAGTTTCAACAAGCGTTCCAATCGAAAAAATTATAAAACTTTTATAAAAGTTCAAAATGAATGTCGTAAAAATTCGAAATCTTCTTAAACTCAAATTCAAATTGAAAGTCTTAAATTTCAACACTTCTGGGCGTCTAATATTTTCATTCTGACATCTCCTTGCAAATTAATATGTATACTCAGATGTCCAATGTTAGAAATTTGTGCGAGACATAAAAAAAATTGCTGTCAACAGTGAAAAAACATCAAAAATTGTGTAAAATTGTTGAAGAGGAGTTTTCAAGAAGAGGATCAGCGAGAGTAGAAAAATAGAGACGAAAATGGCAATTGGTGATAGGTTAGAGGTGGAGATAGCTCAGTCGGTAAAGCATCAGACTTTTAATCTGAGGGTCCAGGATTCGAACCCTTATTTGGGCGGAAAAAAAAGATAGGTTAGGTTAGGTTTATGTTTAGGTTAGGTTGGGATAGCTCAGTCGGTAAAGCATCAGACTCTCTTAATCTGAGGGTCCAGGATTCGAACCCCCTATTTGGGCGAAAAAAAAAGATAGGTTAGGTTAGGTTTATGTTTAGGTTAGGTTGGGATAGCTCAGTCGGTAAAGCATCAGACTCTCTTAATCTGAGGGTCCAGGGTTCGAATCCCTATTCGGGCGGAAAAAAAGATATTGTCCTTTAGGACAACAGTACGAAGAGAGCTCTGTGTGTATAAAAAGGTCCCAGAGCTCTCCTAACGTGCGGAGGACGGCCATCGTGGAGGTTTTAGTCGGTAAAAATCCACGACACTACCTGGGTCTTCCCTTAAAAC